CGTTTCATTTAAATTATTTTTATTATTAGCTCCCCACGTTTGCAAAGCAATACGATAAAATCCGTAAAGGTACTTTTATATTTTTTTTAATTTAATTCAGAATAAAACATACAAATAGATAAGAAAATTAAAAAATTGTAAAAATCCGGTAATTGAGAAGTCGGATGAGAAATTATATAATGAGAGAAAATGGGATTTTGTGATCAGGATTAAGAAAGGAATGCTTTGGTTGTTTGGGCACGTAGAAAGAATGGATAGGGAAAAAGTGACAAAGAAAATTTATGCTGCGAAAGTGAGTGACTGAGTCGGCAAGGAATGCTCTAGATCTAGATGGAATTATAGATTAAATAGGCGATAAAATTTTGAAGATGAGCCAAATAAGAATACCTTAACCAACAAGCACATGCTGCATGTGTAGTACATACGCAATTTAAAAGATATCACATCACGTTTGTATTTAAATGACTTCCGCACATTGTAAACAATCCAGTATGATCTTGTAATAAAAGTGCGCAACCTGTCCATGGAAAGTTCTAAATCTTTTGAGGCTGCATAACATTTTTCTGGACCGATTCTAAATTCCGGCAACACAATAGCACTTCTCCTGTTGTTGCAGCAGTTGTTCATGGGCGGTGGTCGACACTTACCACCAGGTGAGCCGCATGCTCGTTTACCCCTGATTCTATAAAAAGGACAGTTTTTAAATCTATAATTGCGTTCATCTAATGAACTAAGCTCTTAACACATTACCATAAAAATCATATTATGTTTGTAACATCAGTTCATTTATGTTGTAGATTTATAGGAATTTCGAGCATTACCCTCATGAAAAAAACTTTTTTCACAATACTAACAACCTTGGAGGATTCGAATCCACAACCTTTTCGAAGTTGTATCTTTAATTTTATGCTACTATTAGGCTATTTTAAAAATGCTTGCTATAATTTTCTTTCATTCTTCGCCAAAATAAGACGCTATGAAAACTATCCCTTATAATTCAATAGAAAGATCTAACAGAATACGACGCCATTTTTAAAACATCCAGCTATAGACAATACAATTTTACGAGAGACAAACAATGGCGCTAACAGCATTTCTCCCACGGGCGAAAATAAAAAGATACGTAAACGAAAACGCCAACGACACATTTGTAGCGCTCCGACAGAGGGCGCCTCGGAAGGCTTTACTACTTCCGGTGACAAGATGGCGAGCATTCAGCGCAACAGGAAACTGCGGCATGTGCCCGGCACGATGAAATACGTCACACGATAGCTACACCGGGCGACACAAGTTGCGATTTCAATTTTATTTATAAACTAGCAACTCGCCCTGGCTCGTCTGGGCACGATTTATTAAAGTAGTGGTTTTTATATTTATGGATAAACATCAAAGAGACATTTTTATTTTATCAATTTTTCGTATTTTAAAGATTAGCCCATACTTACAGACAGACGAAAGTTTTAAAAACGGTTATTCTTGTTTTAACGGTATGTAAACGACCCCCTCGGCCCCCTAAAGTACAGTTATAATTATCGCTTCAAAATTCATATGCCACAAGATACTAGAACAACTAGACAACGAGACAGTCACGAGTGTTAACATAATAGAAAATTAACGTAATCAATAAAATACAGTCAGTCAAAATAAACGTTCTGTGGTGGCAACATGGGAGAATCCAATACCCGTTATTTCGTGAGCATCATAGATGATCACGAAATTCTATAAGTGATGGTATACCATTTTTTTAAACCATTACCTCTAGAGCTCTAGACCCTATTAAAGTTCCACTACTGAACACAGGCATCCTCCGTAGGATATCTGCTACAGTTGTTTACCTTTATCAGAAAGATGTACAGCATCTGCCCTTCTCATCTCATCAGATGCTGTAGCCCATCTCCTGCATCAGTTTCCCTCTGTCGCCTCTTATGACACTCACGAGACGATATGGGGTAGTAGATATTCCTACACCGCTACGACACGGTTAATAATCCCTTTAATGCCAGATGAAAAATAGCCGAATGTGACGGGAAGCAATTTCAAAGATGCGAGATATTTGATATCGCGATCGCCAACCTACAGCTAAGCGTGGCGATTACAATCTTCCTTACAATAGGAGAAGAGTATGTCTACCAGTGAACTGTTAGGGGCTGATTGGGAAGGAGAAGAAGAATTCAGCATAAAAATATTATTTAGGATTTTTGTACTAGATGTAGTAGACTGTTGACCTCAGTACGAGTAACAAAACTTACCCATTCAAAATTATACTTTGACAACGTGATACAAAGTATAAATTACCATAATCGTCTAAAAATATTACAACATGAAAAATAAAATGCACAAAAAGGATCTGTATCTGATGACCTGATTCGCAAAAATAAGCTAAAATAGTTTAAAATACGATACAGTTTTCTTCGACGGACACAAAAGTTAAGCCGTTTGGAAACAATATATTCGAAAGGAAGGCAATGCAAAAGTCCCGTTGCGAAGTTGAATCGGTTATTTCCCTCATTTGGTATGATGTAGGGTTTTCCGCTGGCGATGATAACACGTAATGGTGATCGTTTGCCCTTTGCCAGCTTCGAATGGCTTTTGAAATTTTGCACCTTTAGATGACAAATATAATTTATTATTTGTTTAACGTCTTACGAAATAAAAGATTGTACTATAAGAGATAAAAATTTGGTTTCGCAAAGTTATTGTTTTAAAGGATTTTTATATTAATGATTTTGTGTCTGACTTATCGGTCTCATGTTTATATGTAACTAAACACAGACACCAGCCCGTTACCAACCATCATCAACATTACGGCCTACGAAAAGTTCACTGTTGACCGTAGGCATCCCCTCTAAATTGCCTCATAGGGGGATATTTGCTTATGGTGAAAGGGTGTAATGAGGATGATAATGGTAAGACTTTTAATTTTATTTTAAGCTCAATTTTAATTAAATAAAACTGATTTTGGGGAATTATTTGAGGGATTATTGTGTTATGGGTACAAGTTTTTTAATGTTATTCCAAACATGTAGGATTTGAGATTACAGCTTATTAAGGAATAAAATTTAACCGTATATATATGTATGTATCATTATGTGATTAAAAGTTACAGGCTTAGAATATTATGTTTATGGCAAAGGCTTTCTCTAATTTCTGAGTGTTATTAAGAATTAGTTTGGCCCGCTCCAGCGAAATTTGCTTTATATTATGTACTCAAAGTATTTTCTTTCTCAGACATTTAGAATCCCTCTTGATGTGTCCTTAACCCACCACTGCTGCAACTAAAAGTTTCATTGGTGCCAACGAGGATTAAGCTTGATGTAGTGACGGCTAAGCCCTAAGGCTCTTTGTAATTTTTTATTTTTGCAGACTATATAAAAAGTTGTTGCCCATCACTGACCTTTGATCCTCATCAAAATGATTACTGAGAAAAAATCCTGAGAGTTGAGACAGGATTACATTGAGCCAAAATTACCAGAACTAAAAATATCCTATATATATCATCATCATCATAAAAAAAAAAAAATACAGCCCTTCACGTGCAAGTCCAACTGCTGAACATAGGCCTCCCCAAGTAACGCCACAGTGCCAAGCACGGTCCTGAGCCACCTGCATCCATCGACTTCCTGGAACGGGCATGTATTACCAGGTCGCTACTCCATCTAGTGGTCGCCCTACACTACGTCTACCGGTACGAATGGCTGCCACTCGAGAACCTTGTCTTCCCCATCGGTTGTCGGTTCTGTCGAGCTATATGGCCGAGCCCGTTGCCACGACAGCTTACTAATCCATTGGGCTATGTCGGGTAACTATATATATATATATAGTTACCGACATAGCCCAATGGATTAGTAAGTATATATTATAGTATATATTATAGTATATATTACATAATCAATTGTAAGAAATAATTTAATAATGTAAGCTGTCATTTCCAATCCTAACTAAATTTGTGACCTCCAATGTTAATAATTGGAGCTAACTAAAAATTGCAAGAGGTTAAACTTCAAAAATTAAACTTTTAATTTTTATACATGGTAAAGCCATGCTGCAGCTCTATTAGTAGTATAGTTGTAGCAGTTGCGAATGGGTCGACTCAACCGGGGAAGGACCACGCTCTCACAAAATAGTAGCTTAATGCTGCTGTGTTTCGTATGGTTAATGTAGAGAACTGGAGACCCTTTTTACTGGAAATGAGGCATTTCATCTTAGTCCTTACGGTTGACAACGCAACTGCATTTTGATTTTTAATCGAGGATAGATGTAGATGTCTATGGGCCGCATCAACCACTTACCATCAGGTGGACTGTGTGCTCGTTTGTCGCCCTATCCTATAAAAAACACTTGGCAGGCAAGTTGGCAACCGCAGGTTTTTATTTTCTTGATTTTATTAGGATGACGCTGCTGCCCAACTTCTGGTCTGTTTCCCTATATCGCTTCTTACGACTCCCACGGAATGATACGGGGTAGTGGATATTATTACACCATCAATACATAGTTTTGGTTACCAAGGACGAAGATTATGGCAAACACCAATACCTATGAATAAGACTCAAGTCCATTCATGAGCTGTTCACTACCATGTTTTATACAACCATATTTTATACGTGGTATGGCCACGTTGCAGCTTTATTATGGCTGTAGCACGAATGAGTCGGCTTGACCGCGAAGGGATCACTCTCTCATGAATACCAGCGTTAAATAGCAACTTAATGCTGCCTATGTTTCGTATCATGAGTCTAGATAACCGGAGACTCTTGTTACTCGAATCAAGGAATTTCAGCTTAGTTCTCAGAGGTGACGGTGAATATTATTTTGATTCATCGATGATAGATGTTTATGTCTATGGGCCACTATAACCACTTACTACCAGGTGCACTGTGTGCTTGCTTCTCATCCTTATTACTTAATAAAAAATGTTTTGCTTAACCAACCTGATTGTATTTAAATGTCATTTATATACTTTAAACTCTGGTGCTTTTTAGTTTATTTCAAATTCCAGTAGAATGAGTGAATATTATTTTCGCAAATGGAAAAGAGTGCTAGATGAATTAGAAAAGCATGTGAAGGTTGATCTTGAATACCAGGTGAAGTCACATTGCAATGACTCATTTATTAAAAATGTTTTACATTCAAAAATCAATTGTTGTCTGGTAGTCTCGTTGAAATGCGAAACTGGCTCGGCCGATTCTGATGATTTTTTTGTGTTTGAGCGTGTCCTAATTGGACCCGGTAGGTATAGGCGCTATTGTCGAGATCTAGAATTCACCCGTGAGAAGCCGTGCCGGATCACTAGTACCTAATATATAATTTCATGTCAAAATATTTTTCTATCCTAGTAGGTATTTAAATCTGAATGTTGTGTTAATTATAAATACTATGATGGTATGCACTACGCCCACAGTGTAAAAATTGTACCTATTAGTGAACAATTCACACAATGATTTCTTATACTTGGAGACCGTGGTTGTTTTTATGTTTCTGTTTTTATATATCGGAAATAAAGGTTTTGGAATTACAATTTCATACCAGTAAGGTTAAAGGTTAAAAAAAGACAGACCTGGTAGGACATGCAGGAAGTCGATGGATACTGGTAGATCAGGACTGTGTATTGTGGCGTTCCTTGGGGACGCCCTTGTTCAGCAGTTGACTTGTGAAGAACCGCGGCGAAGTAAAATAAGCACATGCAGTGTACTATGTTTAATAAGATACTGTGGCCCATGGCCTCACTATCAAACACACGCATCTAACGCAGACACTTACATCCATTGTCCATTAAAACAAAAAATGCAGATGCATTGTCAACTCAAAGGACTGAGTAAAATTAATAATTTTGTTAAAAATATTGATATCTATCAAAAAAATATTTTAGAGTATTAAAGCACACGACCGAACTTGCTGTGAAGCAGCGCACCGTTTAGGTGGAGTCCTGGTGAAATATATGGCACTTTATAACGACAGCTTAGACTGCTTGCAACAGAACCTGCAGGTGCAGAAGACTAGCTATATAGAAGATGTTGTCAAGGCCATTACCGCCAGGTGAGTTGCATTTTGCATTCTTGTGACTTTTACAACTTTAAAAGTATTTTTTTCATGGATGTTTATAAACCTACTTCTACTATAAGTAAAAAAAGCAATTGAAAACAGTTTCATTTCAGAATTTTGGAACTAAAACATCATTTAAGAAAATTAGAAAGCCACAACTATCAATTCCTTGGCAACTGTTTGATTCAACACATGCTAACTTTTGACAATGCTGATCTAAAGGATATACCTAGTAAAATAAAGAGATCCGAACGTATGCAAGCTATGATAGATGAAGTGCTATTGAGAGCTGCCGAAGAGAAAGAAGGTACTCTTTATAAAGGTATTAGTAATCACGTAAAATGCCTACGTATTACTTTAGACTTCATTGTAGTATAGTAAAGGAAATAGGTTAGTAAACAACTATACGAAAGTCATTATTTTTCTGTACTGTACAAGTACTTATAACTGAATTCGTCACTGAGTCTACATATTCCTCGTATTTCATCACAAAGACTATTAAACAGTAGCTACATACTATAATTGGGTTTTGAAAACATTATCATTACTATGACCGCCTATCAAAAATCATACGCCTCCTCCAATGATTGCCTCATAGAGTTCTGATTTTGGCTCGAAAATCAATGTTTATATTTAAGAAGCATAAAATACAGATACCCTTATTATAATACATGTATCCTCAGTCGATAACTATCTATAATATGGGAAACACCTTTAAATGTTTTGTCAAGAAAGACGTCCAACTTTTTAAGTCGTGTACGCGAGCGTATTTGAACACGCTAGAAAAATCTCATTTTATTGTTCAACCAACTGACGTAACATTAATTCAACATTTTAAATAAAGAAGAAGAAAATACACCACCTCCAGAAAATATTGATGAAAATTGGTGGGAAGTAGACGAAGAGGATAACGATATAATAAAAGAAGCCGTTACTTCTGAAGTAAATGAAATATTTTCTGAAGAAAGTATGAAACGCATTGAATTGATCAAACTTATACAGTCACATGAGCGGTCTCGGTACGTCTAATTATTTTCATTCGTCAAATATTAGGTAATTAGGGTTAAAGTTAATGTTTTTTTTAATTTTAGTCAAGTTATACGTTCCATGACGAAACAAAAACTAAAAAAAGAAATGTGGGAAAAAGAACTGAGAGGTACATTAAAACCTCAAGCTAAATTTGAAGCGAAGGAAAGAGCCGCTAGACTTATTCAAAACGTTTTCAGGTAGGCTTTAGATATCATAAAATAAGCTTCACTGGACTTAATAATAAAATTAACTGGACTAATTTCAAAAAATTATATAATAAAAAATTAATTTTAGTATAGATTGCTTAAATAAAATTAATGCAAAAGGCCGAAAGATTGATGTAATGTAATGAATGACATACTAATGTTAGTTTACTTATTTTAATGATAGTTTATGATAAATTTAACGCTAGTAAATGTAGATTCGGCTACAAAGAATCTAAATTGATGTCATAATTTTAAACTAAGATTTCCACCAATCTCATAATTAACCACTGCTACTGTGTTATTTCGTTTGATCTCACGGATAAAAGAAACAATATGAAGGCATAGGATTTATTTTGTTTTTATTGTCCGTTGCTACGACGTAGCTTTGTGCCTAGAAAATCTAATATGTCCCGTGAAGTGTGTCATATTCCTACTCCACTTGAGAAATAAACCAACGCGGGCCAGCAGCTCTTCAGCAGAGTACAACTGCTGCCTATGCCCATGCCAGAAGGATAAACATTGGTCAGTCCTTTTATTAAACATTATGTTTGGTGACTTGGCCAATCTTTTTAGGCATTCTAGCTGCCTATTTTACCGCCTGATTACGCCATCGGGTCGCGAAATATTCAATGTTGGTATATAAAATTAAATAAAATATATTATTTATCCTAGAGCATATTTTAAAATTAAGAGAAACCAAATTATTCAACGCAAAGTCGACGAAGCACTTCATATAAACTCATGCAAGAAATTTGTCCCAGTACAAAAAAATAAAAATGATGAAGTAAGTATATTATGTATTATTTAAAAAAGCATATTTAAAAAAGCATTTAAACCTATTAACTAATTACTTACAGATAAAAGAGCAACGACTTAACAAGAAAAAATATTATGAGAACGAAAGGGCAGCTAATTGCGAAGAGCTAAAGGCAATTTACTTAAAAAAAGAACAAGATAATATTAGCGAGGACTACCGAGAGCTAATTAGATACTGGTTTTGGAAATGGTTATTAAAACATCTAACTAAATAGTACTTCAACTATAAGCAACTAGATAATATATAAAATTTGTTAATAGGTTTGAAGAAGTTAAGTTCTTTTATGATATACCAAAAGAAGAGCACGGTGGTTCTGCGTTAATATTTAAAGAAGAAGTTCCAACTCCTTCGGAATGGAAATTACAATATGAAGCACACTTAGAGAAAAAGAAAGCTAATAAAAACAAGACGGGACTTCAGGTTTTTATAATAATTAAAATATACCTTACAGTAGTTTGATTTAACAATTAAATTATCGTTAATACGATTAAGTTAGCGGGAAATTTGAAATCAACATTTTATCACATAGGGTAACATTTTATCAAAATATACACTATTTTGATAATAATTTTCGTTGCTCAAGCTTAACTTATTTATAGAAAAAGTGGGAAAAAATGGAAGCGAAAAGAGAAGAAATAAGAATTAAAAAAGAAGAACTTCGAAAAATTAAACAAGAGGAGGCATTATTAAAGAAAATGATGAAAAACCCCAACGCACACCCTGGATTTCACTACCCGGATTCTAAGACAACTGAACATATTTTAAAGGTTTGTTTCAACTGAGTTGAATTTTATTTACAAACGATTTATCGGCTTCGTGTGTATGATCCACTAACAAGCTAACAACATCAATTTTGTAAAAGGAAAAAAATCGTTCATTGTTGATATAACGTTGATAAGATTTTGGTCCTTACAAATAAAGTAAGCCAGTTACTGTTTAAACAAATTTGAAAAAAAAATGATAAAGTTCTTTGATGCGTATTTAAGAAGACAATGGCTGATAAATTAACTTCCACTTTAAAATGTGCAATATTATTATGGCTACTGGAGTTCATTGAGGCAAATAAACTTTTATAATTTCATTCTCGGCGAAGTGCCACTCGTGTGTTCGTCCTATAATGCCACTATTTTCATCACAAAATTGCTGTGTGGAATTTTGGAATCAAAAATAAATATACATAACAAAACACAAAAATCCACTTTGAAACACAGGACTCCCTCGTTGATTACTAGCAGAAAGCATAGTTCTTTACATGTTACCAGAATCAATCAGTTCCTTGTCTCACTCTATCTCTCTATCCGGTGGGAGTAAAATAAACGTAATAAAACGGCAATGTAAAGTTATGGCAAGCATGTTAAATTTTTATGAACCAAACATCATTAAACCAGCGATTTGCATCAAACAAGCTTATTTGATACGTTAACGATCTGGTAAAACACGCAGGAAATCGATTATGCAGCAGGCTCTGGACCGTTATTTGTGGCATTATTTGTAAGAAGCAGTATTTAAGTTTAGCAGTATTTATGTACACCAGTCGTTTGTTTATATATTTCAGAGAAGTATCAGGCTACAGAGCTTTAAGGTAGACAGAATAATAATCAAAGTATAAGAACTGTATTTTGTGTTATTTAAGGTTATTAAAAATTATAAAAAAAATTGGCAAGACCTAGATTACCGAGAGGCAGAAGGTGTCAAAGTGGGATATGTGAAAGATGTAGACAAAACTAATGCATATATGGACGTTAAATTAGAAATACTGAAAACAGTTGATGAAGATATGAGGTTCGTACATAACTGCAATTATAGAAGAGTGCAGAACAGCTCTATTTAGGTACCACGACAAAATTTTATCTTATATTTCTTATTATTTCTTCAAATATTTGTATGTTTTTAAAATTTTGTTTTGACACGTAACTTAGTAGACAGCCATTATATAAACACTGTTGGTTATCTTACTGCTCCCTGTATGATTTAATGAGGATTTAAGTTAACGTTTCGGGTGTTCTTTTCCGCGATCAATTCGTGTTGGATTATTCAAAAGTAAGACGACAGATAACGCAGACATTTATTGTATATTAACGATATTACAGTGAAGAACTGAAAATTTTAAAGAAAGCTTTGAAAAACGATTATAAAATAAATGAAGAAAAAATGCCGGAAACAATAAAGCTTAAATTAAAGAGGCCGAAACGGAAACGCAAGTTGAAATCAACGATAACCGAAAGCGTTCAGAATAAAATGGAGGTAGTGTACATAATATTTAATATAATGAAACCCTTAATATATAAAAAAGTCTATGCCGTATATTACGTGACATAATACCCAGTTCTATAACTTACAAATATCATGTATTTTCAATCAATAACGTTAGTTCGGTATTTCAACTTTTAAAGGACCTGGCAATAACTGGATTTTTAAAAGACCGCACACAATTGAAGTTTCAGGACTTTTTGGGAGATTTTAACTTTGCAGGAGACGATCTTCGTTGTATGTTGCAGTAAGTGAAATTTAACTAAATTTAACTTTGTAATATAGCATTATTATTTTAATAAAGAGCATGGTAAATAGGCTTCACTTTTACGTAAGTACTTTATATACTTTTATTTTACTTGCTTTCTATGTATATCTACTATGACCAATCAATGCTATGACCAATATATTTGACTAGGTTCGAATTATGTAATCAATTTTTGAAGCACTAGCACATTCAATTGAGCTGTAACTTGATATAATATCAAATCAAAGTCTATAAAAGCTTGTTTTTAAATAGATTGTTATATTATTAATTATTTTGAAACTGGGTTGTAAAAACCTCTACAATTAAATGAGTTTATCCTGTATCGTCGCAAATCAGTGATTAATACTATAATAAATAATGATGGACTTTGACCAATAAATTTCGGACGTATAAATTCAAGAATTGGAGATTAATTTCAGAACTGCTCTACCTTTTAGTGGTGAACTGAGATCACTATGGTGGGAAAGATGTAATGAGTTATTCCATGGGGCACGACGCATCCTGCTAATCGGACCACAGGGAAGTGGGAAAACTACGTTGATAAATATTTTGGCATCGGTGAACGGTGACTTAAAAAAACTTACTTATTTTATATTTACTTATTTTATATAAGGCCCGCAGGTGATCGCGCAACAACACGTACCTGTTTGGTCTCGGTAGTTAATATTCGCTATTGATTATAAAGTTAATCTTTAGATTTAAAAAAAAAGTTGTGTTATGTAGTAAAGTGCATGGACTACATAGTTTAAAAACCCAACTGCAAAATTAGTTAAGAAATCACAAGATAATACAGTGTTAATCTATAAGGATAAATAAAATATTGAATAAACTGTGAGTGTGAGTCATAGTGTCAACGAACTAACAGGGCCGTGTGAATGACCGGCCTTGCCACTACATACATAATATTCAACTTCGAGCGGCGACCGTTTTACCAATCCACCGTCATTTCGGCAACTTCCAAAAACCGTCGTATCAGCGATTGCCTTGTGAGTAAATTAAATATTATTCTAAAAAATTTTGTTAGTTAAAATAAACAAACATTTATAAGTACCTAATAAAATAAAATAAAACAAAAAAAGCTTAAACTAAACCATGATACGACGCTCGCCTCCTAATGCTCTGGCATCACCCCACTACACATCGGAACCGAATTTAACATCGTGCCCCAATAATGAAAACTTAAACATAACGCAAAGGAAAAGAAAACGTGAGTCGGATGAATTAGGACGAATGGAAAAAATGATGATGGATATGAAAACCATGTTTGAGGAGTTCGTATCGAACCAAACTCAACAAAACAATAAAATAGATACCCTGCAAATGGCAATCGAAGAAATTCGAACTCAAAACGCAAAAATCGCTATTCAAAACTCAGAAATCCGTACTCAAAACGAAGAAATCCAAAAAACCATGTCATTTTTGTCTGACAAATATGATGAGGCGGTGCTTGAGATTAATAATTTAAAAGCAGAGTGTAACAAAAATCAGCAGATTATAAAAACATTAGAAAATAAGGTAGACTTTTTGGAAAAAAAATTTGAGAGCAGCATCACTTGAAATAAAAAATGTACCATTACAGTGTCCTGAAACCCGTGAAACCCTAATAAACACAATCCAAAAACTTGGCAATATTATTAATCATCCCGTACTAGAACAGGATATTGCAAATATTTTTCGTTTGAAGAGTAAGAAGGAATCAGTGGGTACAGTTATTGTGGAATTCTCGTCAGCGGCAGCAAAGCAACTATTTTTGAAGTCAACTAAAATCTATAATAAACAGAACAAGGAAAACCGTCTTAACACAACCCACTTACAAGAAAAAGAACCTAAGCACTTCTTATACGTCTCTGAAGTGCTCACCGCCATGACAAAGCGACTCTACTACCTTGCAAGAGAGTTTATTAAGAGTAGTGAATACGAGCAATGTTGGACAGCCAACGGTAAGGTGTACATACGCAAAAAGGAAGGGATGCCCAGCCGACTTATCAAGACAGAAGATGATCTAGCACAACTACGAAGACAAAAGTGACTAGACTGCGTTATTTTATCTTTAGCAATATTCTTCAAATATATTATAATACTATTCTTGTTACAAGTTTATAAAATTAAATTTAAAAACTATATTAATCACCAACATCATTTCATATACATACAACATTCTACAGAACACACAAATACTACACTAACAAATACATACATACACTACATACAACTAATGTTATTAACTAAGAACACATGTGCTGTGTGCAACACGAGAATATATAAATGCTATAAGCTCTCTTTTTGTACTACTTCTGGCGACCAATTAATTGCCATTATCAATTTAGCTCTATTAAATGTCACATATAAAAATGTAACTAGGAAAAATAAACACCACAATAGTAGATAATATACTAAATAACACATACAACATAGATTCTGTCTCAGTGTCGAATTCATCTACCTGTGACTTAGACAATTGCATCCCACTAAACTTCAACCCTAAGCAATCACTCAAAATACTTAATCAAAATATTAGAAGTATCTCAAAAAATATGATTGGTTTTTATACCACACTCGCTAGGACTAAGGTTGATTGGGACATAATCACCTTAACTGAATGTTGGCTTCCCAATACACATAATATCCCTGACCTAACAGGTTATAAATACTTTAATACTGCTAACAATCTAACACAAAACGAGGGTGTTGTTATATACGTACATGAAAACCTACAGGTTTCTGTAGAAGAACCCCCATTTATAGATGCAAATTGTCTACAAATAAAAATAAACCAAAATACCATTTTATTAGCAATATATCGACCACCAAGCCATAGAGATGTCACTAACTTCCTGCATTCGCTTAACATAACCTTGACTAATATCACACATTACAAAAATATAATAATAACTGGGGACATAAACATTAACATCCATGACGAATGCCAAGACATAAGCAAGCTTAATTACCTAAACTTATTAGCGTCACACGGCCTACTGCCTGCACATTCTTTGCCCACTAGACAAAATGCATGTCTTGATCATTTTGTCCTCAAAACTCTATTACCTGCTTACACATTAGTCGCCCATTCAGCACTAACTGATCATGATACCGTGTTATTATTTCTCGCAAGCAAAATGCCCAAAATAGCGGTGAAAAAAACAACGACGCGCATTAACTATGATCAATTGACTGACGACATGAAAATAATTGACTTTGGTGAAGTATATAATACCCAAGATCCTCATGTAGCAGCAGAATTAATGATAAGTCTTATCAAACAGGCGGTCGAAAAAAACACTAAAGTCGTGAAAGTAGCAAACCGTAAAAAAAATCGTTAAGCCATGGATAACTCCTGGCCTTTTACGCTGTATTCGACACAGAGATAACTTACACAAAAAATCAAAGAAGTCGCCAGATAACGAAGTCTTAAAAATATCTTTTACTAGGTACAGAAACTATTGTAATAAGTTGTTAAAAAAAATTAAACTGGAATATGAAAAAAATGAATTAAAAAAAGCTAATAATAATCCTAAGCAACTCTGGGGAGCAATAAACAACATAACAAACAGAGCGAAAAAGAAAGAGAATTCATCCCATCACTTATTAACTCTATCATCTTCTCCGGAGCTATCTGTTAATTTAGTTAATGATTTTTTCGCTAACGTAGGTAAAAATCTTGCGGAAAAGATATTGGGTGGACTGACAGAGACAACAAAAAAAGCTTTTAACAACAACTCGCAGTCCATGGTATTGTTAGCAACGGATGAGGACGAGGTTGCAAGGTTAATAATATCTCTCCGTAACGACTGTGCTGTGGGTTGGGATGGAATATCCTCTCATCTCCTTAAAATGCATATTAATGTAGTTGTCCCACCCCTGACATATATCTGCAATCTTGCTCTCACAACCGGAAAATTCCCCAAAGCTTTTAAAAAGTCGATTATACACCCGATTTATAAGGGTGGGGACAGAGATCGTGCCGATAACTATAGACCTATAGCCGTGCTCTCTGCCTTGTCCAAAATACTTGAACGCATAATGAACAACAGGCTCGTAAACTATTTGGAAAAATATAACTTACTATCGCCCTCACAATATGGTTTTAGGTCAGGCAAATGTACGTCCGATGCGATTCATGACCTCACAAATTATATTGTTACAAACTTGGACAATGGGCAGAAAGTTCTCGGCATTTTTCTAGATCTTTCCAAAGCTTTCGACACGGTTTCTGTACCCATACTTTTACGTAGGATGGAGAGCATGGGAATTAGAGGTACTC